TGCACGTCCAATTGACAAACGTGATTAATGACGACTGAGGATGCATTTCTTATAGTCTAAGAGCAATATCGTAACTACATTTGGTCTTGAGGGTAAATTGTATTGGTGAAACAAATACAACTTACATTATTTGGAATCCCTGCCTCCAGCATAGCAATTAATACAAATGCTGTCAGTGAAATATCGTTTGATACACCACCCTAGAAAGAAATACATGCAGCAACAGCGTTAGTTACAAATGACATCAAACATGATATTAATCAAACAGGAATAAAGCTTCAAGATTAGGATGACATGTGAAATACATTTTGTTTTATTGTCACAAAAATTAACAAATTTATTTTTCAGGCATTATTCATTATTATATTTCACTTGTTTTTTGAGGTGTTAAAAACATTGATTATTACTTAACATTGTGATTATGTTGGAATAATCGGTTTGTGATGAAATGCAAGTAAACTACAATTTGCATGATATCCGCTTTCTTTCATGCACTAGTTGACCCGAAACTGCATCATAAATCCAAGTGCCAGGCAATGTATTTAGGAATTGTCTGTTAGTGTTGGCAAACCGAACATAACATAAGTGGACTTTCTTTTGGCATTGATTTTGTTGAAAGAAACAGAAAAGTTGAATTTTTGTGAAAGTATTTAACACTCTTCCCTGGTTATAACAGCTCATTGAGAAACAAAATTTGCCCATTCACACTAGTAACAAGTTCACTTATATTATCGAACAGGAGTCTGCGACTACAATGTACAATTGAGAGTGAAATGTTCTAAAAGTAAAATACAGCACATTTCTGAAACTTTGATCCATGCTAGATATTATCTGTGACTCGTAAATAAATTGACAGGGTTTATTCTAACCAATAGATCACCAACCTGCTGAATCATCCTCTATGGGCGAGGTTTTGGATGGTGAAGTATTGGAAAAACGCAGTGGTATGCATTAATTTGGTGGGGAATACAATTCTCAAAACTTGTTCACAAAAACTAGCCAAATTGTAGCAGGTTGTGGATTCCCCCCCCCCCTCCCCAAAAGAAATAATCACTTGTACTTCCTTGTATCAATGATTAGGAAAATAATACTGTAACAATAAATTCAAGAACCAAACTAATTTCGTTTTCATGATTTTGATGAATATCTTTGATGGAAACAAACAAATTTTGTCACTGCAAAATTTGACTATAAAACTGATTACCTTCAGTCGTTTATTGTGTACACTTCCACGTTTGATAAAACATCCAGTGTCTTTTCTCTGTTGCTGTTTAAACCACTCAATGCTCATACTGAGATCATCATCATCAATGAATATAAACTGTTTGGATTGAGCAAATGATTTCACTACAAAGGCAGTTAACCTGGGAACAGATCATATGCAATAACACATGCAGACCATTAAAACAAGTCATTGTTAATGACAGTCTTCATTGCAATTAAGGGAAATGTTATTTATGCATGGCACAGTCCCAGTTAGATATCAAATTTGAGATATATAGTTATAGTTGGAGAAATTAAGGCACTTCACAATTAAAATACAACAAAGCACAAATCAAACATGAATGAGTACTAAGTGACTCATATACAATATATGTTTTAGAATATACAACTTGGAGCAAGAGTTAAGTCTACACACACCCATAGTCGCAATCTGTTGTACAACCTAATATCCATCTCAGAAGAAAATCTTCCCATTCATGAATTCATTTACAACCAGACTCACTTGTGTTATCATGAATGATCTATGTATATTTTTTTTATATTTACTTAATACAACCTTTGAAAAATATTCCTACAAATAAACAAGGCATGTATTATGATGTATGTGACAAATATATGATAAATAATAGAAAAATAATACATTTCAAAAACAAGCTGCCTCTCGACTGAGATAGCTGCGCTGTTGTCAATGCACATTGCAATTAAAGAACTGAAGATATTATTAGAAAATGAACAAATCTGAAAGAGGTCTATCTGAGGTACCTACATATATAACATCAAAGCAATCAAATTTGCGTTTTCACCAAGAAGTCGAAAATATCACTTTCTACCAAAAATGACAAAAATATTCATCAAAATTAGAGAATTGAAGATATCATCACCAAATGAACAAATAGAGAGGTCGGCCCATGATCTCAAGACATCAAAGCAATAACAATAATTATTGTAGTTTTCAAGAAGAAGTCGAAAAAGTAAAAAGTTGACACGAACGACGATAGACAATCACTCATATGATAAGCTCCGCTCGACAAACTCAATCTTCAATCTGATCATGAAACAAATTGTCATGGACATGTATCCTAACATGTATAATGTATTACACAATTTTAACAAAAAGTAACAAAGGATGCCAAAGATACCACATCTTCAAACATTATGTATGAGAAAAAACATGTACCCTAGTTACCCTGTGTTCAGCCCTGGTAACATGGGACATTAATAACATGGTACAGACATACACTTTGGTAACTGCCGCATACCAGTATAAAGTGCAGTAACTGGTTACATCTGTATTATCAAATCATTGAAAATGACACAGTCCCCGTTAAATTTTTGAAAGTTCTCTTTGTGCTCGTCATATTAAAGTGGAGGGTTATCGTGAGCATGTCCTTGAAACTTGAGTTCCAAGTGGCGTATGCAACAGATTGTTTATTTACATCAAAACATGTGTTCCGTGTAGTAGTAATATGCCCAAAAATAAAAACACCCGTTATTCGGCCATCTTTGATCTGATTATGAAACACACTGATATGTATGATGTATGTGCCAAATAAAAAAACAAAACAAGATGCCTGCCAGTCGACCATCTTTGATCCAATTGCGAAATAAATCGTTATGGACATGTATCCTAACATGTATAATCTATGTACCAAGTTTGAATGACAACTGACAAAGCATGTCCAAAT